ACGTGTAATATTATTTTATAAAAGATTGTGTGGTTGAAAATAGGAGAGAGAAAAATGAAATGTAATGTAATTTAATTTAATGGAAGTCAAATAGGGGCTAAAAACAATTCAATCACCGCAACTCACAAACCTAAAAGTAGAACTCCAAAATTATAGTGGACTCAAAAGGTGGACACCACCAAACGTCCAATTTATATTTCCTGCTTGGAGCCCCCAGGGCACATCTCCAAGTGGTAAAAGGGGAGGGTGGAGAAATCCAGCTTTGCTTGAGGCTGCTGCGTCAAGGGTTCGAATCCTGAAATATGGATTTGGCTCTTGGGTAAGTGCAAGTGTACAAGCAGCCTTCCATCCTGTACCCTTGGAGGCATAACCTGCGATTTACCTCCCTCACGATACTCCAGGGCAGGGGTGGTGGGGGACCCTTAAGGTTAGGGTTTAACCTTTTTTAAATTTCCTGCTTGGAATATTCCATGGCTGCCTTAAGAGTGCTCTTAAGTGTTTGGTGGAGATTAAAATTAGAGTTTTTAGTAGATTGTGATAAAATTTTTTGAAATGTGTGGTTAAAAAGTTGTGGGACCCATGAAAGATATATTTAATATTAATTATTCGGCTTTAACTTAAATTAAAATCGAATTTTAATCTGTACCAAATGGACCGTAAATTTGTCCCGAGCTGCGATAACTATTTGCGTGTAGAGAAATTCTGCTCATTACCCCTCAAAAAAAGTGAAATGCATATTAAAAATAAATAAATAATTTCAGACATCTGTTTTATATGAACATAAATGTGATCATCCATTTATATCATGAATATAGGACCCTAAATCATTCTAGTCATTATACATTGACATGCGAAGTTAATTTCATTTCTCTCTTGCCATATTGGAGACTAAAATATCATAATTTTAATGACTTAAAATTAGAAAGAGTAATGTTATTCATAGTCGTTCATACGATAGTCGGCCTATATGACATCTTACATAATAGTTGTAATTTGATGTATTAATATGATAGTTTTATCTTGCCTCATATATCAAATCATTAATCGTCACATGAATATCATGTAAAACAACTACGATAGAGAATGATTGCAAATAGTACTATTCAATTATAAATATTATGATTTAAATGATCAATAGTCTGGAGAAGCTTTCCCCCCTAATTTCACTCCCATTGTCACGCAGAAACAGACGCACGTTCTCTCCTGTTTCCACCTTACATTCGAACAATACATAACCAAGAAAATACTATCCATTTCCTTCCTCTGTAATAACAGAAACAGAAAAACACACTGGCAAAGAACAAACGACATCTTTCACCTACTTCATCCGCTTCCCATAATTGTCCCAAATGAAATCAATGGAATGAATAACTCTTCTTCCAGCACCAAGTCAAAGAATCCAACATCAAAAGCAACAAAAATGTCGTCGTCATCTTCCTCAACATCAAGAAAAGATACAATTTTCATAACCAGTTTGATAATCCTTTGGTACTCCACCAACATTGGAGTCCTCCTACTCAACAAATTTTTGCTCTCCAACTATGGATTTGCCTTCCCAATTTTCCTCACCATGTGCCACATGTCAGCCTGTGCCATCCTCAGCTATGTCTCCATTGTTTTCTTGAAAGTAGTGCCGCTACAGAGGATCAAATCAAGGTCCCAGTTCTTGAGGATTGCTACTCTCAGCGTCGTATTTTGTGGGTCCGTTGTCGGTGGCAATATTTCCTTAAAGTATTTGCCGGTGTCCTTTAATCAGGCAGTCGGTGCAACCACTCCATTTTTCACTGCATTGTTTGCTTATTTTATGACCCTTAAAAAGGAGGCTTGGGTTACCTATGTTTGTCTTGTGCCTGTGGTTGCTGGGGTTGTCATTGCAAGTGGGGTAAGTTTTTATTTTCTCTGAATTTTTTGGATTCAAGTAATTTATACCTTTGAATTAGTTTTATCCTGATTTGGGTTTCTGCGTGAAAAAAAATTTAGCTTTTATATATTCTGGGGATAATTCATATTAATAATTGATTTTCCCCATGGGATCATACATGAAGATCTGGTTTCTGTGTGTGAAACTAAGATACGTTGCTTTATTTGATATTTTTATTGTGATCTGGGGATCTGACTGGACAAGATCCAATTTTCTTGGTAGTTATTGTAGACTGCCTGTTTCAGAAATGAATCAGATTTAAAATGTTGTCGTTTGAATTTACATTGTAGATTTTATACATATTTGCCTATATGAGATGAATTTTTCTATATATTTTTTATTTTTTTAATTTTAATTTTAATTATTTATCAGTGGGAATTTTGAAAATTATAAACAACATGCTGATAAATGTGGAAATCTGTAGTGAAATCCAGAAAACAGGACGTGCTAAGAGTTCTTGTAATTTTTGCAAATATTCAAGGAATACAGGCTCTTTGCCACACTACAATGTTAGGTGTTTGCATCGAAAATTAGGAGTTTAACATTTCTTTTAATCTTTTAGTGTTTACTGAAACCTCCCACTGCTTGCGGCTTCCAATTCCATGCTCTCTGTGTCATTGAAGTGGACTATTTAATTTTTACTTATCCTCACATCTATGATTAAGAAAGCAAAATTTTCCTTGAGTTTGTGATGTTCAACTATATATTCGTTAACGTATTTGCTTAACACAGTGTCTACTTTTGTGAAATTGCAAGATTCAAAAGTTTTTAATTGTTTGCAGGGTGAGCCAAGCTTCCATTTGTATGGATTTATCATGTGCGTAAGTGCTACTGCAGCGAGAGCTTTTAAGTCTGTTCTTCAGGGAGTCCTCCTTTCTAGTGAAGGGTAAACATTCCTGATCTGTGTATTTACTATCACAAACATGTTTGGCCTTGCTTAAAAAATTACTTTTCTAACAAGTTAAAGGCTTACATTTCAGAAAATTGAGTTTTTTTAGTAAAGAAAATCAACTCTGAAAATCATGTTTGTCAAGATAAGCAACGTAAAAGTAAGTTTGACTTACTTTAAAGCACAATTTTAATTGAGAATGCGAAGGAGAAGCATTAAATCCAGTTATCTTTTCTTGCAATTTAATTTTTGTCCATCTTTGATCAGGCTGACATTTAGAAATACAAAATAAAATTTTGGCTTTTTAGTATTGAAAAACGAGTTCGATTTCACACTTGATTTATATAGCAAACTCATTGTCGCAGGGAAAAGTTGAACTCCATGAATTTGTTGCTTTATATGTCCCCAATTGCTGTCGTGGTATTACTTCCTGCAGCACTTACAATGGAACCTAACGTATGGGATGCAACTATATCACTTGCAATGGAACATAAATTCATGTGGGTACTACTTTTGCTTAATTCATCGATGGCTTATGGAGCCAACTTGTGCAATTTCTTGGTGACGAAGCATACAAGTGCATTAACGCTCCAGGTTCTCTCCCTCTCTCTCTTGTGAGCGAAAGTATCATTTTATTTATATCTTCTGGTGGTGGCTAAACTAGATTGGGATATGCATCTTTGAAATTCAATTATTTGATCCTATGTTGCTTTGGAGCCAAAGAAAATTATGTAGATGACCCTGCATATAGTGGGAATAAGACGTAGTGTAGACTGCTGTTCGACTCTATGTGGTTGCTGAGACTTTTAGATGAGAATCTATACAGGTTTGTATCTAAGTTGAATTGTCAAATTTAGGTGCCGGCCAAGAATTCATTGACAGGCCACAGTGAATGGACTGTTATTTTAAACTTATAAAACAAATAAAAGTGTTAGGTCAAAAATAAAAAAGGCCATACGCATCGAGTGCACCAAGAACGAAAGAAAGCTGACCAAGAAAATGTTCGACTTAGTAATGATGAAACTAGAAAGTAATGAATGTTGAAGAAAGGTAGATATCGCGAATGTAATTATGGAAAGAAGTCATGTTTTCAGAAATCATGAAAAACTGAAATTCTCGTAATATTGGTCAATCCCGCTATCTGAATTTCTTTCTACTGTCCGAATAATGATCAGGTATTAGGCAATGCAAAAGGTGCTGTGGCAGTTGTCATTTCAATACTCCTTTTCCGAAATCCTGTTACCTTTATTGGAATTGCTGGATATTCTATGACCGTTATGGGGGTCGTTGCTTATGGAGAATCTAAGCGTAGGCACAAATGATCTTTTGTAATTTGTACTGCCTTTTTTTTTTTTTACTCTAAGAGATTGGTAGGTTGAGAAATTTTATTGTACTAGAGGAGGACAGGAGATTAATTTAATTGTAGTGCTTTTCTTATGTGCGTTGGGATTTATGTAACTATAGATGATTTTTTTTCTTCGACCATCTGAGTCCCGGATGATTAGTTCTGGGATTTTATTGGATGGTTTGTCCTGTAATGACATTCAGATATAGTCATTTGAGGTTATTTTCATGTATTTGCAACTAAGCCTTAATTTAGCTGTCGAATATGATATTGGTTGCGACATATTTTGAAGATTGGGATAAGGTATATATAGATACGATGTTGTCCTACTTTCTAGTCTTTGTATGAGGAGATGGTGTCTTCAGCTTTTCTTCTATAAATTTCTTACTTTTGAAATGCTCATTTGATTAGCAAAATTAAGCTACTCGGTATTGGATATGTTATTCAAGAGATGTATAGAATATGAGAGTTTTACTGACATACAGAAAGAACCCAAAACATTTATTCTATGACTCAAATCCTGATGTAGAATATGAACACAGAAAAGAAAGAACAAACCTAAAAGAACTACTATGATAATATGTTCAATTTCCCATAATTTACAAGTAAATGACAGATGTTTGAACTTAAAAAGATGTTTGATACATAGTATTGAACAATATTGTCCAGTGTTTTCAATCCATTTTACCATCAATAGTAATAGCATGTATATCAGCTGCACTTACTAATTTTTCCCTTACCTTTCTCGTTAAATTTTTAAGCTTTTTATTCTGAGAAACTCGAGGAAACCATTCAAGCAAGGTCTGGACAGCTCGGGAGAGGATCATAACTATCATGTTGTGTATAATTAGGAGTCCTTTTTGTGAACAGGAATGCACTTCAAAACAACAGAAATAGGTATACTTACTGCTCCAAGTACAACATTGAGTAACCATACTTGCTAGCTCAATGGAAAAGTGCTTGGCAAAAGTGCTCAGGAATTCTATATTTACTTGGATTACTTCTGTGAATATCCAGTTTTCTAGCATTCCACCAAAATGTGTATCTTCTCAATTTCACGGCTATTTATTTCGTTGAAGACCTAAATGAATCCAAACAAAACAAAATATATATCAGAAATGAACCTGCTAGTGATAAAAGTGATCCATCTATACAGCATCGTCTAGGTTCTTTGACCGCTGAATAACTGGACAAGATTGAAATATTTCACATGCCTTCTCAACATGCCGAAAATGCCATTCTGTCCTATCCCTAGTTTTTCTTTAATTTACAAATGCAAGAATAGTGTGTTAAATGTGTGCTTAAGTGAATGAGGCCCAATGATGTACCCCAATAGCTTGTATACATGGCCCGTTATCGTGGAATGTGGCCCTTGTGTGCATTCTTGCATTTACTTAGACACGTTTTTTGTTGATTGGACTTAAAATGGCTAAGATGATGACACTTGGTGCTTGCTCGACCGTTGGATGCATGATGACCATTTAAATTCCCAATCTCTCATTCAATTGCCAGAGTTTCGAGATAATTTTAGGGTTTGCTCTCTTTTTGTCTTTCTAATCTCTCTCTTTGAAAACTCTTGGTTTCGACTGTAATCTTTTGTTTTAGGCATTCTTGATGATGTATAGTATAGATTACGGTATGTATGTGGTTTTTCTATTCTTTGGTGAGCAGTGACTCTTGGTTACTTGGTGTAATTTTTAAAGGAGAGGAAAGTGAGAGCTTAAAGCTAAGGGCTTAGAGTCATTGGATTCTTGAGTCTCTAATACTTGTATATTAACATTTTTACTGAATTTTAGTGGATAAGATCAATATCACTTAGGTGGATGCTCAACGTGGTGATTGACCATTTGTGGGTGAACATCCGAGTCTAAGAGCGAAAAATTATTGTATTCCCTATTTTGATTGGTTAAATTTTTAATCTGGGACTATTAATAACAACAGTGGCATCAGAGCTGTTCGATATGTGCTGAAAACTTTTGATCCAAATGTTTCTGGTGTTCTTGGTGGCCAAAACGTAGATCTTCACAGATACGTACTGTAAGGGCTTGGTCTTCATTATTCAGAGAAAGTAAAATCGTCTGGTATTAACTATTTTACATCATAGAACTGAGACGTGTCTGGTAACGAGTTTTTAACTCTATCTCCTCTGTTAACTTTCGATTCCACGCTTTTTTTTTTTTTGCATTCATCTAACAGTGTGATTAAGGAAATAGGAAAGACTAAAATTGCAGCAGAATTTGGACAAAACTTGAGTCTCTTTATCAAACTAAGACCCTTTCCAATAAATGTTACTTGTGGAAATAATTTTTTAGTTTTAAGTTTGATCCTAATTGTGATATGGAGATAAACCTTGATAGATTTAGTGAACTTTCCCAAGATATCACCAATAGTGGTGAAACCCTTTTTGATTACCAGAAACCTGTGACTTTACTATCATCCTTACCTGAAAAAATAAAGAAGTGAAACATATCCTTGAATATGGAAAAGCTTCCATCGCTGTTGGCGATATTGTTACTTCTTTAAAGAATAAAAAACTTGAGTTCAAAAGTGAATCAAAAACCTCCAAACTAGAGTAGGATATAATGTAAGAGGCAGTAATTCCTTCAACAAGAACAATAACCACTTCTTGAATAAAAATTTTGGAAAACCAAAAGAACATTATGGAAGTTTTTCAAAGGATAAATCTAAATTCAACAAGAATAATAGTAAGGCTAAAGAAAGGAAATGTCATTTTTGTGGAAAAATGGGCCATTATATAAAGATTGTGTCAAGAGAATTGAGGAACTGAAAAATACAAATAAAGTTGAAGGTGGAACTGCTATACTTTATGAAGAGGCTGTAGTCTCTAATGGACAAGTCTATGTGACCTGTCAATCCTCAATCAAAGATGACTGGATCCTTGATTCAAATGGGCCATTACATAAAAGACCGTGTCAAGAGAATCGAGGAATTGAAAAATACCAATAAGGTTGAAGGTGGAACTGCTATACTTTATGAAGAAGTTGTAGTCTCTAATGGACAAGTCTATGTGACCTGTCAATCCTCAATCAAAGATGACTGGATCCTTGATTCAGGGTGTACCTTTTATATGACACCCTACAAAGATTACTTTATTGATCTTTTTGAAACTAATCGGAGAAAAGTAATAATGGGAAATGATTTTTCTTGCAATATTAAAGGAATTGGAAAGGTTGTTTTGAAACTAGAAAATGGGAATGTACTAATCTTTTTTTTTTTTTTTAATGACCATGAGTGTCCTAACGTACGGGGGTCTGAAGTTTACAGTTGGGTACCCATCTCAGTGGCTCCGAGAAGACTCGAACTGGTGATTATTGGGGAGCAAACCTAATGTCTGACTACTGAGCTATCCCTCAGGGTTAAATGTACTAATCATAAACAAAACTAGATACATTCCAAACTTAAAGAGAAATTTATTCTCTTTAGGTACACTTGATGATGAAGGTTTTAATGCAATCATAAATAAAGGTGTTTGTCACTCCAAAAGAATTTTGCAAAAGTTATTCAAGTTGAAAAATCAAATAAGTTTTGAAAACCATATGCCAAAAGAATTAGTCCATTTCTGCAGCAGTCTTTGTCCAATAAATTTGAAATATGGCATAAAAAACTTGGACATATCAGTGATAAGAATTGACATATTAGATAGAGACTGCTAGGGTTTGAAATATGGCATAAAATTTTTGGACATATTAGTGGTAAGAATTTACATATTCTTAAGAAACTAGGTCTTTTAGGAAATGAAAAGATTGAAAAAAATGTTTTTTGTGAACACTGTATATATGGGAAGCAAAAGAAACTACCTTTTGCTATTGGTATCCACAAATCAAAATATATCTTTGATTACTTGTATGCTGATCTATGGGGACTAGCTTCTGTGAGCACTCACTTTGGCTTTCAATACTATCTCCTGTTAGTTGATGATTTTTCAAAGAAAAGTTGGGTTACGCTTCTGAAAAATAAATCTGATACTTTTCAAAACTTTGTTGCTTGAAAAACTCTTGTTGAAAATCAAGTTAACAAGAATGTTAAAGTCCTTAGAACTAATAATGGCGTCAAATTTTGCAATGAAGAGTTTGATAAATTCTATAAAGAAAATGGGATCCTTAGACATAGGACTGTTACCTATACTCCACAGCAGAATGGGCTAGAAGAAAGAATGAATAGGACCTTGTTAGAAAGGGTTAGATGCATGTTAATAAGCTCAGGTCTTCCAAAACTATTATGAGGAGAAGCTATCAGAACTGTCTCATACCTAATAAATAAATGTCCTACTAAATCCCTGAATTATTGCACACCTGATCTGTCTGGAACGGTCATCCTATTGATTATTTAGAAATTTTTTTTAGTTGTGCTGCTTATGTACAGCAAAATGGAGGGAAACTGGAGCCAATTCTATAAAAGGTGTTTTCTTGGGATATGGTAAAGGTGTCAAAGGCTATAGGATTTAGTTGAAGGATTAGGGTGCATGTAGAGTCATAATAAGTTGAAAAGTTGTCTTCAATGAGTTAGACATGCACTGCATTAAAGAAAAAGTGGATGCTACCACTAAAAATGATCAAAATAAACACTTTTTACAAACTGAATTCTTTCTAGCTAATTTTAATCCTAGAAATAAAGATCAGATTGAGGTGGAGCCTGGACTAGAACAGGTTACTGAACCTTTCTCTGAAACTGAACTTGAACAACCTACCAATACTTTAGAATATTACCACTTGGATAGGGATAGAACTAGAAGGGAAATAAGGCCACCCTTGAGATAGTGAACTTGATTTTGTTACTGCACTTAGTGTCCAAAACCTTCTAGATAATGAGCCAACCTCCAATGAAGAGGCCATTTAAGGAAAAAACACAAATTTTTGGCTTGCAGCCATAGGAGATAAAATGCAATCCCTAATAAAAAATAAAACTTGGATCTTTGTCAATAAACTAAAAGGGGAAAATATTATTGACTGTAAATGGATTTATAAAATAAAAGAAAGTGATTCTAAAACTAGAAATGTAAGGTTCAAGGCCAAATTAGTTGCTAAAGGCTTTAACTAAAGGAAAAGAATTGACTACAATGAAATATTCTCTTGTAGTCAAGTATACCTCAATAAGAATCTTACTTATATGATTTAGGATGGGCCACAAACCAACGAGGCTTCTATGCAAGTTGACGAGAGACTAAGGACAGGGTTGAGCTTGATTAGATTCTACAAAACCAAAATTTGAGCT